CCTTCGAGCAAACTCTTTGTATAATTGTCCACATTTTGGTCCAAATACTGTGAATCTTCTAATCTCTTAAAATTATCGACGAGTTCTTGTTCAAAATATCGGCCATCACTTAGAAGTTCATTGAGAGTAATGCGCGACTTCTTGCCTATTGGGTCGGGCGGAAGAGTCGGTGCCACTGCAACCAAATCCCTGCAGTGACACTCATTGGCCACTAATTTACAGACCCTATCAGCACAGCAATGGACACACTGTCTGATGTCGTCCAACTCAACCACTTTTGCTTTTTCAATATTAAACAGGAAGTCATTCACAACTTTCAAGTATTCTTTCACTTCAGTGCTTAGCGTAAAGTCTTTAGAACCCAATCCTGACGCACACGTCCTGTCCCTAAAGTGACCGACACTTAACTGTCCATTCATTGGGTCCGAACGGTTCCAATAGAAGTCTTGCATAAAAATATCACCGAATTGTGTCACAACCGCTAAAGAAAAGCCAGATTTGTCGCCGCTGTCTATGAGTTGTACTCCGCGGTAGATATACTCTTCAAACTGAATGTTGGTATCGATTGGAGTGCTCGCGTGTAGTGGCAAGTGAAGGGATGAGAGGGCCGTCACATCAGTCAGACGTTTAAAAGACATCAAACAATTGTGTTTCAAGTCAGAAGTGACCACAATTTCACGTTTCTCTTCATCGCACTCGACAACTAAACTCTTAAGATTTCGGACCACATTCGTGGGTATCATGTGATTCAATTGCATCAGCTATAAGACAATAAACAACATTAAACTCAAAATACTGCATATAATCAAAGAATAAACAATTGCTACATTATGTTTGGCAAATCTACAGTCATTGATGAATATATGATAATCTGTGGCCACAAACAGTTGGTATTCATTGAGCTTTGAGGGCATAAACTTGTGAAACGTTTCCCATTTGTATTGATTATCGTTATGTTTGGTGTCCATCACAGTGATGACCGGTTTGCCTCCTCGCGAGTCATAACAAAGTATTTGATTGGTCTCTCCATAGAAGAACACATTCGGGTTGTATTGAGTCCACTGAAGACCTATTTGTCTCTGAGCATCCATTGAGTTCGGTTTGAATGCGTTGATCGACTCGTTGTCCTCCAAGTCATACAAATGGATCACATCATCGGTCTTATAGGAAATGATGAGCTGATTATCAATGACAGAATTGCGATCGCACCACTCAAACGCCGACTCATTTGTGGCCACATCCTCGACATCGATCTCATTGAACACATCTAAAGTGATGTCTAAGTCTTCATTCATCGAGTCTTCACTGAACCGATAAAATGTGATTTTATTGCGACTATTGCTCTGAACTTCAGACAAATCATTGGCTTTTAATTCAATGATTGGTTTGACGTATTGGTCATCACTGCCAAAGAGTTGGCAAGTCTTGTGACTGTTGTGCCTAAAGGGTCCACAACTGACACTATCATCACTGCTATAATGATGTCTTTTATCACTGTTTGTCTCTAAACAGTGACCACTGATTGTGGCTCTCGTTGACCACAACAACACGTCTTTGTGACCAACTTTTGTGGTAATGAGACAATCTTTGACCACATATGGGAACTGTTGTCTGGGTTTGTCTAAGAAGTAGGGCAACGAAGGGCTGGTGGCGTAAAAGTTGGCGATTGTGTTGATTTTGGATGCGTTGGAAGCGCTGTAAAGACCGCATCCGTTGTAATCGAGTTGTGATGAGTGACCGAAACAGTGGTGTCTTTGACTGAATGAGTAGATGGTGTCACACAAGCCGTGGAAGTTATACAACGTGTACTCATTAGTGGCCATCAGTTGAAGACTTTAAGTGGAAGCGATTCACATCCAAGACATCACCACTACTTTGATTCAAAGTTTGCAAACATGTGTTACTAAGCCATGAATTATGTGCACAACTCTCCCATTCATTGCCGTATAAAATGTGTGACAATTAGTTGACGTTATTTATTATCATTACATTTAAATGACAAAACAGATGACAGTTTACAGCGAAATCATAACAAAAATAAATTGTGATATAAATTGCAATTTAAACTTAAATTAAAAATATATTTTAACCATAAACTCAACGAAAACTAGTCTAAAGTGCCTTCAAAAGTGATACACAATTATAGTGAGAGTAAAGTCCAGTGTTTATAACCGGGAAGTGGTGTCGCGAAAGCAATTGAAATTTTCACCAAACTTTAACAACAAAAAAGTGTTTAAAAATAAATGATTTGATTAAAAGTTTCACTTCAATACAAAGCCATTGTATGTATTGAATGCCATCTGTTATGATATAAGCAGTCATTTATTTATACAATTATTACATAATTTCACGCTTTATTCACACATTTATCAGTCGTTTACAACTCACCACTCAATACAAACATATGATATAAACATTGGATTCATGTGTTGAATGAGTGGTGCAAAGAGTGGTCCCATTCAGTGGTCGTATGATTCACTCGTTTCCCATTAAACACATCTCAAGATTGTCTCAAAATGACCGTTAAATCGTTGAAACACTACAGGATTGGAGACATTATAATGACCGCAAAGCCGGTGGTCTATGTGGTGGTCGACCACATGAAGACCTCTTTATGCGATTACTGTCTCCAGAAGAAGGCACCGTTGATGGCATGCAATGATTGCCGGCAAATGTTTTACTGCAATCAGATCTGTCAGCAAAACGACTGGTCCTACCATCGGCTCGAGTGCCACCACTTCGCCAACAGTAGCCCTCACCTCAAGTCCTCCACGAAACTGATGATCAGGTTATGGCTGTCAATGGCAGCTAATCCCGAGATCGCCCTCAAGACATACGCCCTCCCGAACGGACAGTTTATTAGTCTGAATGACATGAAAGTGAACGCAAACATTGGCGACGATATCATCGCACTTATGGCACACATGAAAGACAACTCGTTTTTGGGTTCACAAGACTTGGAGAGTTTGGATCAGAACACCGGTATATCCGTCAAAGATATGGCAGTTCTTCAGTTCAAAGCACTGGTCGACACATTCAGCGATTGCCAAATAGAGGCCGATTGGACACAACTGTGGCGACTGTTCCTCAAAGTGTGGAGTAATGTCCTGAAGATGGATGTCTTGGACTTTGGCGACGACGACGACAGCGTTTACGGCCTCTTCGTTGATGTGTCGGCGCTGAGCCATAGCTGTGAACCTAATGCCTGTTACGTGAGCTACGGCTCCAGACTTCAGGTCAGAGCCATTAAAGCGATTAAACCGCACGAAGAGATCACAATCAGTTACATCGATGTCTCCAATCCTAAACCCATTCGACAACAACTACTTAAGTCTTATTTCATTGTCTGTAATTGTCTTAAATGTCAGATCACTTGCGACACGAATATTGATTACGAAGTGTTCCGTAAATTGAAAGACAACTTCAATGAGATGTTAGAGTCACCGAAAGGGACCGATAAATGCAATATTGAGGACATGCTGTCGATGGCCGAGAAATTGGTTCCCTTTTATGAGGCAATATATGAGGACTATTACCCCGATTTGAGCCTATTTTTGGTGAAATACTTAAAATTAATGCTTTTGAATGCCAGCGAAACCACAGCAGTAATCAATCGCAAGTATCTGGAGTTCGTCGTCGAGAACGTCCGCACCACTCATGGCATCGATCATAAGATCTATAGAAAGTTTCATATCATTCGCGATATAACTCTCTTGGATTTAGCTTCAGATACGGATCAAGTGCTCAAATGTCTCAAATCAAAGCCAACCTCTCGTCTCAGGAGTTATACTTTAAGAGCTTTTATATTTCTTGTCATTTATTATATTTATACTAATTTTGGAGTAATTGTTAAACAAATGTCTGGATAATTGTTTAGTCTAATCAATGGTTTAGTCAAATTCAAGTGAATGTAATCTCTCAAAGAGAATGTCTTTATTTTGAATAAATAAATAAATACTTATTTTTTACACTCGAAACAAATATCACCGCAAATATAATAGTCTAAAGTAAGACTATCTAATAAATCACTTATGGTTAAGAGGCTTAAACTTTAAGACAGTTAATCACTTCTAAGCGATTGATTTGTGTTGCGTTTAGCATAAAGTCTTGGAGTCCATCGAAGGTAAGGCCACTCAATGAATTCAATCGCAATGACTTCAACTTTTTCAATCTTTCCATAGAATTCAATGTCTTGTCTGTTATATCAATGAATTTCAGCGATAAGTGCCTAATGTTTGGCAACAACTGGTCTATCAGTGATAACGAAGCGTCTGTTAATGACCTGAAGTGAGTAGAAGTGCCATCACTTGTCTGTTCGTGTTTTCCACCACTGATTAGTGATAGGCTTTCCAATTGTGGACAGTTTCTCATAATAGCCAACATTGAGTTGTCGTCAAACACTGAATGAAAATTACTGTAAATCCTATTCTCCTCTAAATGTAAGTCTTTTAACGATGAAAGTCCTGCCAAACCCGACAACATATTATTGTCCTCGACGGTCCTTTTGCTCTGAAATACCATCTTTAGTGACACCAATTCACTGAACTCTTTGCCGATCGTATTGAATAGCGTATAATCGCTGTCAAAGACTTTGATTCTCATGTCCAGCACTTGTAAGTTGCGACCATTTCCTTGAGAATTATTAATTGTCAGTATTTTTCAAATTTTATCATTCATTCAAACATTTGTCTTACCATTCAATAGGCCCTCAATGATTGAATTCTTGTGATTGTTGTGATCCAAGGCAGCGATGAATGTGTGAATCTTGAGCCCCAAGTGCTGCAAATGATTGCCATAGTCTTCGAGGACACTGTCCTCTAAATTAAAATACTTTAAATTTGCGAAACCCTTGACAATGATCTCGACGGACGTCTCGTTATAGACGGAAACAGTTAAATGTGTCAGATTTGGGAACCAATCGACCAGATGTTTCAGTGACTTCTTGTCGAGGGCTCGACAGCGAGTCATATGAAGTTCATTCAACATAATCAAGTTATTGGTGAGCGAACTGACCAGGTTGAAGTTGGTGGTGGCCAACGTTGACCTCATTTTCGGACACTTCTTGAATCTCATGACCCGGATGTTTGGCATCATCGCCACGAGTGAGTTAAAGGCCATACCGTTGAAGACATACTCGCCGTTAGACAAGTGAACGCCGTTTAGTTTGCAGTTATAAGTGATTTGACGGCAGTTCTCGAGGTATGAATCAATTTGTTTGAGAAAATATTTATTCACTTTTCGACACAAAAACACATCAAAAAGCGATAAAAACTGGAGGATGTGATGAAAACTGTGTTCATCCAAATCAGTGATGCGAGTCTCGTGTCTGCCCATCAGATCCACTGATCCCTTCACTATGTGTCCCAACACGTCCATCAGATCTGACAACGGATGCAAATTCATGGATGATATTCACTCTTAGAGGCTGTGTTTTGCCATCAAATTCATTGAAATACATTCACATAACTGTAATGTGTTTTGTATAACAGTATCACAAGCGATGGCTTAAGCACTCAAATATCGATTGACTTTTTGGATACAATATCTCATTAAACGCTATACTCTAACAGTACTGTAATAGTAAGTTATGTCACACCAAATGCCACACTATCTCACAATCTCTGTGTCTCAATGTCTCGCGTATAATAAAATGTGAATCAATAATATAATTATGTTTTCCCGATGTAATATTTAACTTATCAACAACATTTCTGCTATTTATTTAGTTATTAGGTCTGCAAAAGAGTATTCATTTGCGAAAAAATTAATATCTGTTTTTTGTTTCGATACAAAACTTATTATTTAATGATTAAAAGTATTTCAATTCATATATAAATGTAGTACAGAATATAGTGTAATCTAATCTCATGTTGTTTTTATAGTTTAACTTAATTTCCACAATATTAATGTATTTTTAGTTCAAATGCTAATATTATCACTAAAAATAATCTCAGAGAAAAATATTAAATTTTATTGTAATTTAATATTGACTTTTATCATACCTATGGGTGCCATCAGCTCCCAGTGCCCTTTGCATTGGAAAGTTTATATGAATTCCCATTCATTTCACTTTTGATTAGTGTTTCTTTTCTCGGATAAGTTTATTATTACTATTATTAATGATTAATAAAATAAGTTATATTATTATATGCAGTCAATATTTGGAGCACATATTACATGATATTAGGATTGAATTTTATTTGTTTTACTTTTATTTAATGGTTTAATGCACTCTAAACATAGCCCTCATTTAAGGCGTATCTCAATTTGCTACAAACAATTAAATTATTATCAAACCATTAACTTTTACCCTGATGTTTAACAAAAAAAACAATTGAAACTTATTTTTATTTCCTCTTAATTTATTATATATTTTTACAATACAATACAATCGTAACAAATGCCGCAAACAATTGCTAACAATTATAACAGTAGACTAACTCTAACTTTGTATTTGCCATGACTTTCAATTAATGTGTATTTATGTATAGTTTTAATTAATGTAATGCCAGTTACCATAGATTTTTTAACCATTTGGGAATAACTTAGTACGCTTACACTGAATATCTAATTTGAATTATATAACTATTAATGCTATTCATGCAAAAACATTTGCTGAATATTAAATTATAATTTTGATCTATTTTATGGATAAAATCGATTTTAACTCTATTATTGAAAGTAAATTATACGTATAGTGTTGTGTTATTATAAATATTATAAAAATTTTAAATGTCATCCAAACCTAACTTTAAAATAATATTAAATATGAAACTATTTTAGAGAAAAAGTTATAGAAATAAAAATATTCTTAAAACTTACATAAGGATTGAAATAATGAGATGATTACTTGTATTTCATGTATTACTAAATCTTATATTTATTTATATGACATTTCTTTTATGATTTGTAAACCTTTGAAACGTATTTATAACTCAATTTCAAGGTTTGTTTGTAATTCTTAAGACTTT